TACAACTGTAACTTTATGAATGTTGAAGCCTTGGTGAATTTGGTGATATTGCTGTCCACTTTGTGCTCTTTAATTATTTTTTCTAATGTTCTTCCAGTTTCACCAATATAAATTATAGGGTTATTACGATTGCATTCAATTTTATATACTGTCCCTTCTTTCTTAAAATCATCATTTTGGTTTATGTTATTAAATTGATTATTAATTCTGTTACATATGTTTTGTGATATGTTTATTAGTCAAAGATGAAGCCATATTAAATATTTTTTTTAAGATTTTTGAAAAATCTTATGGTTATAAGAAAAGGTATAATAATTTATGTCAAGTTTATATTAATGTTATATGGAAACTGCCCATTTTCTGAAAGGACAATGTAAATATATGCATATCTGACAATGTTGCTGTTGTGTGTTTGATCAGATAGTAAAAATAGATCTTAAACTCACGCAGTTCTGAATTATTTTTTCTATTTTGGCAGGTTACTGTTTTGAACATGATTAGTATATCTTTCATCTTTTGTCTTTAAACTATACCAGCTATGTTCATTTTTATAGTAAAATCACTTTTACTTACATAAAAATAAATTTACTACTAGGCTTAATCCAAAGCGATTGCTACTAAAGATGGAAATATTTGAATTCAAGAGTTGCAAATTATTTGATTTCAAAAAGTTCTTGTTGTTCCCAAGAATTTTTGCTGGGTATTCAAGTACTTCTCAGATGCAAATCCTTAGGAGCTCATACAACAGCAATCAAGCCAATTAGAGTATCAAAAACAAGTGTCAGTCTGCTGTCAAATCTTCTAATTGTATTGTATAAATAATACAGAAAAATAGAAGTTATTATGAGATCTGACTTTTTGAGGAATTTTAATATTTTAATTAATCATTTACTTCAACCTTTGTAATTATTGATGTATTATTTTATTTAAAATGGCAGACAGTATATTTACAAAATACAGAAACATCTTCACTTCCACCCTATTCAACCACCAAGAACTAAAAAAACAGTCTTCCTTTGCATAGATGACTTTTTATTGTAGTGTATGCCTCTGCTACACTATGCAAAACAGTGCGGAAGTGAAGACGTTTTTGTATCTTCTGTATTTTGTAAATATAACAGGTGCCATTTTAAATCAAGTATACAATTTTAACAAGTTGTGGTTTATAATCAGTGAACATTTTTAAAACTGTTTTGCATAGTGTAGCAGATGTGTAACCTACAATAAAGGGTCATCTCTACAAAGAAAGACTGTTTTTTAGTTCCTGGTGGTTGGATATGGCAGAAGTGAAGATGTTTTTGCATCTTCTGTATTTTTTATATTATATCAATGTATTAATAAACTTATTTTTGAATACTCTGTATTAGTCAGTTCCTAACTGCTCCAAACAATGCAAATTGTTGTTAGCCTATTCTCATTATTTTCACAAATTACATTTGTTGCTTGTTTTCAAGAACTCAATTCTTGGAAACTTGTTTTATTTTTGAAAGTTCTGGATTTTTAAAAGTATTTAATTCTGTCTCTGGTTAATTACAACAAATATTAATTTAACAAAGACCTTATGTTCGTGAGTTCACATGATCATCATTTCTCTAACATGGTGTGAAATCATTCTCAGAATAGTTTGTCATGCTCTATGATGACCATTATACCTGTAAGCAATTTTACTTTTGTCTACATGTGAAGTCTTAATTTTCTTTTTAATCCAGGTTAATTTATGTCCTTTGTGTCCAAAAATCTCTCCTGTTTCTACATTGGACAGGTTTCTGGCTTATAGTAAAATTTTACATGGAAAATTGCTTCATTTTGAAAAATTCTTTTCTGTTTAGCAGGTTTCTGTTTTATTCAGGTTCCATTTTTTTTAGATGGGTTTTGCTGTATTTAAGGTTCATTGCAAAAATATAAGGCAACCCCAAGTTTTTGGAATAATAAATTTTTATTATACTTAAAAAAATTAGTGACAGGAATGTAAGAGAATTACCTATTCTATTGACAATCAGAAATAAAAATGAAAATATAATTATTTTATTCAAAAATTCAAATATAATGGTGTTGCAAAAATATAAGGCCAGTGGCATTTAATTAATAGCAAGTGAAACCACAATTTTTCAAAATAACCTTGTAAGCCCTATCTTACATAGAGTTGACAAGATTTTGCAGCATATTTAAATCAATTTTTTTTGTATGCAATTACAATTGCAGCTTTGAGTTGTTCAATGCTGTGGTATTGTTTTCTCCTGCATATATATTCTTAGCTATTAGACTATTAGATTTTCTACAGTATTCAAATCATGAGAATAGGGAGGCCAATCCATGACCTGAATGCCATTATGCAGTAACCATTGATAAGTGAAGATTGCATTGTGGATTGGTTCATTATCTTGTTACAATTGCCAGAATGGACCACCTTTTTTTCTCCAAGTGGCAGAAGTTATATATCCAAGGAGTTTTGATACCCAGCTACCTTCATTCATCCATTTATGAATGCTAAATTGATTTTTCCAGACCATGCAAAACCTGCCCAGATATTGACTGAGTCCTCTCCTTGCTGACGCTTAAACAAAAACTCATCTCTCCTAAGATTGTGCCAATAAAATTGCCAACTGTCAGGACCATCCAAATTGAACCTTTTTTTATCAGTCCAAATAACTTTACACCATTTTGTAGTCCATGACATTTTATCTTTTGCCCATATCAGTCTTTTTTTTTTTTTTTGTTGGTGGTGGTGTTATTGCTGCTTTTCTATTTTTATACACTAAATGTTTTGTTAATTTTACCATCTGGAAAAATGCGGATTTGGGAAATTTAGCATCAGGCCTTTATACTATTTCACCTAATGATGTTCCTGTTCTTATTTCCCAGATAATTTCTGATTTCTTGTCAACTTAGATGGCCATCCTATTTGTTTTTTCTTTCTAAATTGCATACTAAGTTTAATATAATTGCTACAACACAACATTATCTCTTTAGCTGCTTTGCAATAGTTCTAGCAGAAATTCCAGCCTGATGTAGTGCTATGATTTGGCCACAATCAGAGGCAGTTTAGGACTTAAGTAATTTTAGCAATGGGTAGAGGTATTACAATAATTATTGGTGATATAAATTCAATTATGCCACTATTTGCAGTTATAGTGTGCTGCCATCTCTGTATAATTATTAAATTATAGGTAATAGTGATTTTATAGATTTTTCTGATCTTAGTAGTCAATAACTGGATTAGTGTACATTGTATATTATATATGAGTGATTTATGAATATGTGTGATACAGCAGCCATACTTTGACTATTGCTTTGTTTGCTATTGGTGGCCAAGAGAAACTGGCAGATTTTTTGAACATTAGCCTCTGCCTAACCCATGAATGCAAATCATACCTTGTTAAACTGGACAACATCCAAGCTGGTACCATGCTGTGTGAACATATAACAGCCATTCTTATTTTGCTTTAAAAATCAATACTTTAAATATTATTTTAAAAAATTGATGAGACTTCATAGGTTAAATCCGAAGAAGTTAACCGATGTTTTTTTGTCTGTACTGCATTTCATCAGAGACAAAAATCCTGAGTGTTATCTTTGTTATTCTTTATTCATTTAACCTATGAAGTCTCATCAATTTTTTTGAAAAAATATTTAAAGAATTGATTTTTTAAGCAATATAAAGAAAACTGCACCCTTGATATAATACATATCTATTACTTAGAGAACATTTTTGTTTTCTTCACAAAGTAGGTATGCTTCTGTACCTAAAGCTAGATGTTTACAAATTAGCTGCCTTCAACATGGGAAACAGATGCTGTTTAGCAATCATCCACTCTAGATCAGATGCTGCTTTGTTTCATTCTCCCCATAGTATCAGCAAGGGAAACTGAGGCATGGGTGGCTCTTACTTGTAACTTGTGCACCCTTTGGCAATGCTCTGTGATTCATTGATGATGCTATGCTCTTTCACTTTGACAAGACGATGACTTATGGGAGAGTTATTATTATTGTCAATGCCTAGTGCTATGCTGGACAAAGGTCAAGCATAGCTACAGTTCTTTGTTTGCATTCTTCATATACAAGTATGTATCTGTGTTTAAGAATTTTCTGACTAGTTATTATTAATGTTATATATGTTTAGTCTGTTTAACAAAAGACAAATTTTTTAGTTATTTCTTATAGTCAGTCTTGCTGATGATTAACATATTATTCTGTAAGTGTAATGCTAGTAGACTGTAAACATTTTTCATTGCTATAATGGGAATTTTGAGAAATGAAATAATTGTATAAATTAAAACAATAACTCTAACTTGACTACACAATGTTTTGTTTACACTGCGACATTATTTCATGGTGATAGAATAATAATTTTTGGTATGTTATTTAATTTTAAAATTTGAAGTTATAGCTTTAATTAATGCATACAGTCGACCCCCCTATAATTACGATTCCTATAAAACTACGAAAAAATATACGTATTTTGGAAATGTTGAGTCGGATTAGTGTAGAATCGATTAATTTTATGGAAGAAAACCTTTCAATCAGCCGTAGTCCGTAAACTTGACACGTGTCGGGCTGTGGTTGGAACGACTTGTAAGAAATCGGATTCCTAATAAATTGGAACGTATCTATATCTTATAGGGGGGTCGACTGTATTTAAAGAGAGAGTAAAAATATCAAAATTTTCTCTTTGAAAAAAGAAAGAAATTTTAAAATTTTGTTACATTTAATGGACAATGCCAATTCTAATGAAATAAATAAAAACAAAGACTTAACATTAAACATGTTTAGCTGCAGTTAATGTAAAATTTAGTAAGTTTTGTCTAAATTTACTTTACCTAGTTTTTTATATATTCATACATTGTTTTATAATTTACTTCATATTATAATTAGTAGATTTATATTTTACTTGATTGGTGTAAAAATGAATATTGAAAATTCATCTTTTAAAAAAATTTCTTATTAAGAATGATATTAAATTTATGAAGATTTTAATTATTCAGACTATATACTTTTTACAGATAATTCGTATCCAATCTCCTGAAGGGACACGAAGAGTACAATGTGGCTTAAAAGAAAACATATCTGGTTTTTTTAGAATGGTAAGAATTTAAGATAAATATTCTTAATTAATTAATTAATTAACAATTTGTTAATATAATCAATTTTTATATGATGTTAACTTTTATCAAATTAGTGTTTTTTTTTTATTTTTAAATAAATTTTATATAAAATATTAAAAATTTGATTTGTGTAAACAATTTGTTTTTTTTATTATATTTCTAATTTTTATACTGAAATGACTTTAATTTTGAAAATTTTGGTAAATTCTGCAACAGATCCTTAGTCTACAGACAAATCAGCAGATTCCAATTAAAGAAAGTGATACGAAATAAAGTGCCTCTTAGTCATCAATTAATTCATTGTAATTCATCTATAATAATTTTACATGTAGTTAAAGCATTAATACACTGTATTTATTCAAATATAACACACATTTTTTCAGGTTTTATCATCTCTGAAACTGAAGTGTGTCTTAGATTTGATGTAATATGTTATAATTAGAGAGCTCTAGTACCATGCATCTTATAATTTCTACAAGAACACTTTTATTCTGAGAATTTTCAACACATTACTGATTTCCATTTTTCTGACATCACAAACAAATAACTTGATTGGTTGAACAACTCTTAAAAATGGGGAATAACAGTGAAGAAAGTAATAGCCAGTGTTTTGTCAAGGTTTGTTTAGACAGTGCTCAGAAATAGATGATAACGTCTTTGCAATGCATTTTAAATTGTGGTGCAGCAAGCCAATGTCTAGATGCCATTTGGCTGTTAATTAAACTCTGTCTCTGCAATCAGCCATATGTGACTAAGGATAGGTTAAAACATAAATAGAAAAATATTGAACTTTATTCAATGATATTATTATGTATGTTGTTATAAATAATTAAATGTCATTATAATTTTATATTTTACATCTTGTAAGATCTAAAATATAAGCTGTGGACTTCTAAGACCTTTGGTATCTTGGTGATGTAGCTGTCAAGAAATGATTGTTGTCTCCTCTTTTACTGGTGGAGCTTTTGGTAGCAGTATATCATTTCATAACACATCAGTTTTAGAGCTATGCTCATGATTTCAATCATTTTCTAGTTGTTTCATAGTTTTCATGATTGTTATGATTGTACTTTGCATATGGGGACTAAGTCAGAAGCACTTCAACCTAAAAGATATTGTGATACTGTTGGTTAAGAAGTCTCAAACAAGCTCTTTTTGTATATCATCTTTAGAACTAGAAGCTGAAGATTGTTGGGATGCCTTCAACAATCTTCAAGAACTGACAGAGCCTTTGCTCTGTCAGTTCTTGAGGATCATTTTTGTTAAGACTCACCATGTAGTAAAACTTCAAAATTCTACATTATCTTCCAGTCCTGCTTCATTAACCAAGTCAATAACATGTTTTTATGATTAGTTCTTTTAAGTTGCAATTTTCAGGCTACATTTCATACAAAGCACATTGCATTATTGTCTTATTTGTACATTCTGAGAAAGAACAATTTTACCAAATAGTAGCAACAGCTTACCATAACAAAGCAACGTTGAAAGAGGTTGTATTAAACAGGGTTTTAACAGGGGTTCTCAACGTTTTTTACCCATGGACTTCTTTTCCTTTTAATTTTTTTTGTGGACCCTCCCATAGATTGCACAGAAAAAAAAAACCTTATATTTTTTTCATTACATTATTTCAAATTGGAAAAATATTTTACTACTGAAGCTCTGAATTTCAGAAAAAGTAACTACTGTATTTATGAACTAGCACTTTTAATACCTCTTACCTTGTAAGATTGAGTTTTGCACAGTACTGAAGGTTAGGGTTAAAATAAACTGATTACCTTTATACTGGAGGGAGGCTATAAAGTTTATACTCCCTAATCTTCAAGATCTGGAACAAACTGATGCAAAATGTTCAGAAATGTCAGTATTAAGTGACATGATGCTGATGGTATAAGATTCTCCTAACAGACCCCTGTTTTATCTCTCTTTGACCTTTGTCAATGAGATATATATGTTGTTTACATATTCATTATTTTAAATAATTTATTTATGCAAGAAATGAGAAATAAATAAATTTACAATATACTGTTTATACTGTAGAAATTTAATTTTCAGTAAAACATTTGTTCTGAAGTAGAATTACCCTATAGACCACTAAAATATCACTGTGAAACCCCAGTTCAGTATTTTTTTTCTGTGGACCCCCAATAACATTACATGGACCCCAGTTGAGAACTCCTGCTCTATAGAATGTATGGAATTAATATTTGCTTGAAAATCAATTTATTATACTCAGCTGTTTAGCTATATATTTGACTCAAACAGTTGGTCAGTGGTGTGCCGTGACATTTGATGATAGGGAGCTGTGTTTCTATAAGAAGCAGACTTCCTGGGGTAATCAGTTAATTCTTTCTTTAAATGTATTTTTAATAGATTATTTATCTGACATACATAATAAATAAACAAGTTCAATATAATTACCTCTGTTATTAGATCCAATATATTCCATATGCCCTCTAAATGCCAATTCTCGCTTTGATAAAAACATATAACATCTATTTATTTAAATATAATATTTCTATTAACTGTAACTATCTCGTTATAATTTTCAATATTTATTTTATATTATTTACTAATGTTAAATTCTATTCCGCTTTGATTTCTAAATTGCTTCAAATATGGAAGAATCAACGATTTTTCGTGTCTTTTGCCAGTTAAATTGTCAAAGCCATTGTTATTCCACACACTAATTTCATTTGAAAATAGTAGACGAGCCAACAAAACAATTTTTGCATTTTTATGCATTTACAGTTCCATTTTATCGTGAAAATGTTGAACAAATTTTTTTATTGAAATGTTTATATTTAACTTAGGCATTGGCCTTTCTCTTTTAATAATGTTTTCTTTTTTGTTATATGATCTCGAGCCAAAACTTTTTAAAAATAAATTTTCAATGTCGCAATAACATTCTGAATCGCTAGCCACGATATAAGGGCTAATATTAAAAATAAAATTATAAAAACTTACTTGGTAAAATAAAATGTGTGGTGGATGTACCGGTACATACCCGGTACAAAATATTCTTCAATTGTACAAATATACTTTTAAAGAAAATTATAATTAAATATAGCTTTGTAATGAAACGTACATAAAAATAACATAAAATATTCTTTACTCTTTAAATCTTAACCACTTAGTCAAATAGCTCCCTACGAGTGGAATCGGAGACGGTCCTGCTAGGTATGCAGTGCATGCATGCACGCGGGCTGCCAAATCCCAAGGGTGCCGATACCAGTCAATTTCAAGTGCCTCTTTTGTTGCATCGCTAATATACCTCAAAAGACGTGACAGGGTTCTTGTAAATTTTAAACATTTCTCACCATAGCTGTAAAAGTCTAAATATGTTAAACTTAATAGTCATTTGTTTTCTAACTGATTTGTTTTAGGACCAGATGTTGTCCATGGAAATTTCCAAAATTTACAACTTTTCGGTCACTCTCGTCAAACTGGAAAAATGTCTGTCTTTATTACATCTAATATTTCGAAGAAATAAGTTCCACTGTACTCGGCTAGAGATTGGTTCGGTTAGGCTTTCGTTTAAGTAAACTTTCAGCTCTTTCATCAGGGTTTTGTTTATGTCCCCAATTCCCTAATCACTTAATTATTTAACTACTTCTTAAGTAGAAATAAGTCGAAACCAGTTACTTTGTACTCAAATATTTGTAGTCTCGGGAAAAAATGGAAAGACAAATTTTTATGACAAACAGATACATAAATCGTAAATTTAAGGAAAATAAATTCTAGAGCTTTTTCTGTACCTCATGCATCTCTCTCATTCATTAAATTTAGTTGTAAATGACGCTGTCGAAGAAACAGTTAATTTTTTTAACATTATACAAGAATTGTACACGTTTTTTTCTACATCCCCTTAAAGATGGGACATATGAAATCGTAATGTCACTGGTTTAACATTGAAATCCGTGAGTAATATAAAATCGGAGAGCGGAATAAATATATCAAATATTTTAACAGATTTTTTTTTTAACTCCTGTCAACTATACAGAAAACTATCATAAAAACATGCAGGTAAATTCTTATCAGTCGGGTTAAGTTATAAATCTACTCGTGATTCACATAATTGGGCGAGGGCGGCCAAATATCTAGAGGGCGGGCGGCTAACAGCCCAGAACCGGTCCAGGATAGAATTGGATGCGTTATATGTGGAGCAGCCATCCGAGGTCCTAGGCTTCCACCAGCTAAACCGGGTGAGGGTAGTGCTCTGTAAAGCACGTGCGCGAATCTGGCTTTTTGGATGCTGACAATACTTAGTGGCTACTCCGCCACTAATATTCAAATATACAATAGCGATGTTTTTTTTTTCACGTGTAGTATAGAAATTTGTAATAAGATACATAATGCGGTTATAATAAAATATTGTGCGATTATTTTCATATAATTAAAATTAATATGTATTTATTTTTTAGAAAATACAAGGGAAGCGGCGCATCCACCGCTTCTAATGACGGCATGCCACTGCAGTTGGTTATTGACTGTGGCCTATGCATTTCATATAAAACCTTGTTTAACTAATTTATATTATTTATATTATGTATTTCAACTTATTTTTTTATATTCTATTGTTTTATTATTTAGTAAAGGTTTAACAATTAATATAAATAGGATAAATTTCACATTTTACTCCATTTACAAGTTTCGTTCCTTGAAATACATAAATTTATGTAATTTGTTTAAAAACAAATATATCAATGAAAATACTTTGTGTTGAAAAGTACTTAGGGTACATATTATGTAACAAATCAGGTATAAGCAAGACAGTGACATCTATGTTAACTATCAAAACACTCATGTTGTTGAGATTTCCAGAAGTGCCACTATAGGGACTACTTAAGTAAATTTCTACTGTATTTAGTTTAGCTGAAGGAAAGAAAGCTGAACAATATTTTTTAATGAATGTTTTATTATTTATTACTTATTTGATGAACTGGTTTTTAACATATAGGTTCAAGAGGCCTTCGCTTTTTCATCTCCAAAAGATTTCAAGATCTATAAAGATAGAAGTAATAGAGATGAGATTATTCCCTCTGATATAAAAAGATTATCTGATATTAAAATCAGGTATGGTAAATATAATGTAATAAATAACATTAAAATTTAATTTTTTTTAATAAATCTATGAATTCTGCTTATTGAGGCAATCAAATATTTAATTTTCCTTATTTTCAAAACATTTTCAGCTCAGTTTGAATCATCATCTGTTCAAACTGTTTTATATGAGATATTTTAGCATATAGAACAAAACTTAAAATAAAGAACAAATTAAAAAGAATTAAATATTTGGTGCCTTCATTTTTTTTTTATTTATTACTACTTTTATTTAATTACGAAAAGCTACTTTGTTTTTAAAAAAATAGTAAATAACTTTCTTAACAAGTTTTGCCTTATTATTTTACTTGAAAAAAATTGTCATAAACTCATTTTTTAGAAATTTGTTATTTACAGGTTGATATATTTGAAAAGTTGGTGTATTAAATCACAAATTAAAAATTGTCCAAAGATTCCCTAGATTTAGACTTGCACAGTTTAAGGAATATGAAATCTACATAGGATATCTTGTAGCAGGATAAGAGCTATTATAAATAAAAGTGGTATAAGTCCATTTTTGGAAAAAAATAAGTTAGTGATAGTTTTAGTGAGATATAGATGTTCTTTTTTATATATTTAATAACACAGTCAATTGTGATTAGTCAGGGGCAAAAGGGGCTGTTCCCTAAATACCATTTAATTGGTGATAGGTCGGCAAGACTTGCTCACGTTGTCTGTTGGATGGCTAGGAGTTTATCGGAAACCCACAACTTGTAAGATTTCCGCTTCCAGTCGGGAACTTACACCAGTTAGGATAATGCTAAATCATGTCCTAACTCGCGATTCTTAAATTAATGTATATAGGAGGGTCTTCAAATATTGAGTGGGGAGTGCAGTGGGTAAGTCGATGAGGTGTCAGGTTTCCAAGGAATAGACAGTCAGAAAGGTTTTTAAACTCAACAAATAAAAGTTTAATAAAACTAGAAATCTAGGATATACGTATTACAAATTAGGCGATTAAATGCGGATAACACATGATTATACAATGAGGTGGCTATTCTACCTTCTATGCTGCAAAGCTATACTACTTTCTATGCTGCAAAGCTATTCTACTTTCTTGGACATAGAGAGTTTACAACTTTCTAACAAAATACTTCAATTCTTTGTTGATTGTCGATAAGATGTTGTTCTATCGTCTTGAAGAGGATTCACCATCGAAAGAATGGAAGTGTCTTCTCCGAGGACTTCGTATTCCCCTTTTTGGGCAGACATCCACTTTTATGGGAGCACATGACCAAACGTTAATTCATTGTAACATTATGACAAATGCCCAGAACTGTTGTTGTTGTTGTCTTGTCCTTTTGTGTGTTTAGCCTGGGAAAGTGGTCAGGTGATCGGCAGTTGTTTAGAACCGAAGGTTGCTTTTGTAGTTGCATTCGACAATGACTTTCATCGATGTAACAGTGTCACTTTCCTCTCCTTTCACAATCAGATGTTATCATTTAGCAACTGACTGTTAAAATTCTCATCCATTTGTTGATAGAGAATGTCATTTGATTGGTATCTGGTGTGATGTTTTTCCTAACTATCATGACAGATGTTATTTTAAAATTTTCTTAAAAATGGATTTTAATATTCCTAAAATCCTGGATCTCGCACAATCAATAGTGTACAATTTCTTCATAAATTAATCAAAAGAACATTAACTGTAAAATGTTATTGAAAGTGGAATAAGTCCATTTGTAATAATCAATAATAATTATTGATATAATAATACAATTATTCTACCTTAATACCAATTAGAAAGTTGTTTCAATTATTTTAACAACTTTCTAATTGTATTAGGTAGGGTCTGTGATCAGGAAAATAACATACTTTCGATTTTTTCATGCACTGTGAAGTTGTCGGTGATTTAAGCATTGACTGGTCTTTATCTTCATTGTACAGATCTACCTCAACCAATAAAATCATTGTTATCATGCCTAGCAATACATAATCCCATGAAAAGTTGCTGCTCTATAGTAACTCTATGGGGGCTCCTTTAGGCCCTAAGGTAATTTTTACTAGTGGCAGTGACTTCACTTCAACAAATGAGCATTTTCTTATTAAAGGCGGTCATACACATTAAGTAAATCCTTTGAGGATTAACTGTGCATGCCTGATCTTGAGGAAATTCAGAATTTCCTATCGCCCACACACGAAGAAGAAAATCTCTGTCTGTCAGTCAGTCAGTCGGCCATCTGATGACATACTAGCTGTTCTTGGATGTTTATTGGCAACAAATTCTATTAAAACTCGTGGGAAAAAACATGTGCATAGAAGTCTATGGTGTAAATAGTAGTAGTAGTGGTTTGGGTAGCACTGATCACAAAATTAATTTTTTATACAAATAATTTTTTAATGGAATTATTTCAGATCACAAAATTAATTTTTCAAGAGAAATCTTGGGGTATAGATGCTGTTAAAAAGCATCAATTATCAGCAAAAGATCAATGGCAAGTCAATTTTACTATTAAAAAAATTCACGGATTAAATTTTATAGACGAAAAATCATCGGATATAACTGGCTGCATCGAACATAGTAATTTAAAAAAATTATTAAATTATTTCCTCAATGTATAAAGAATTATTTTTATTTAAAGGTGGATAGATAGAAAAAAAATCTTTTAAAAACTGGAGCTACAGTTATTTAGATATCGAACCTTGGGTATCCAAGATCAGATAATATTAAAAAGAATTGTTGTTACCACAAATATTTTAAAAAGCATTATTCTTTTTGCAATATTCTATCTTTCGAACGATTTTTAATTGAACAAAAAATAGATAATTTCAAAATCAATACGTTGTATAGATATTTAATAAATAAGTAACAAATATAATTTAAATAATTATTATATTAAACTATTTCCCTATTTTACTTTGTCTTATTGTTAAAATATTATTTCAAATTGTCATGTTTTAATTTATTCGGACATTAGAAAAAAAATAGCAAATATATATTAATAATTCTCAACCACATTCAATATTAATACAAATTGTAAAAATTATCATCACAAATTAATTTTATAATTTAATAATTAAAAAGAATTTATTAAACTTTGTCTTATTGTTAAAATATTATTTTAAGTTGTCATGTTTTAATTTACTTGGATATTAAAACAATAAATTTTCTAATGTAAAAGAAAATGATATAGAGTATCATGATGTTTTATGAAAATGGAAGAAATGAATTGAGAAGTTTTCTAAAATTATTTATAATTTTAATTTACTCAAGAAATTTTTGATCTGAAAATAATTTATAACCTGAAAAATTAATTTTCAGGTTATAAATAATAAAAGTTAATAATGTTACAGAAAATAATTCTTCCAAACATTCACGAGACATTGTTCTCACTACTCAGTGGCCTCGCAACTGAACGACACAACAGCACACATGTTAAGGTCGGCCTGCGCAGTCCAAAACTGGGCAGGAAAATCAAATGGTTTTTTTGATTGTACTCCGGTGGTCTGTACAGTTCACCGAAGCTGTTCAGTTTCCTCCCCACACACTACCAGGAATTACTCAAGGTCAGGCATGCATGGTTAATCCTCAAAGGATTTACTTAACGTGTGGGCCTTATAACAATTCTCTTGGGATTTTTCATGGACAGACTTGCCCCTTCAATGTCATGCCTTCAGGACATATAATGTAAACAAAGGGTAAAATTTGAAATTGTTATTGTTTTTAAGCTCTATTTTCACTAATTTTCAAGTTAGGCAACTTTATTTAAACAAGAAAGTGTTTTTTTAGAAACATCCAGCCATAAATTTTACTGCCAACACACCACTTCCATTTGATTATGTAATTGCGGCAAAAAAATTACTCGCTTAATATAGTCAATTATAGTAATATTCATTCATATAATATAAGAACAAAGTCTAGTATTCAATTTTCAAAACAAAAAATTTGAAAACCTAGCTTTACCCTTCCACCCCCTACAGTTAAGCAGGAAGTGTGAAACTTGACATCATAAAGAACTAATTACTTTTGACCCGGGGTAGCTAGAGCTTTGTGTTTGTTTTGTTTGAAAAAAAACAAATGTTACTATGTTAAAAAACGATGGAAATGAATTGGCACCTTTGATGTTGGAGGTTCTGGATTTTGTGATCTCGTATCACAGTATTGCTCTTGCGGAACTCTTCATCACAGTATTGCCATATTTAGTTTTTAGTTTGGTTAACCAATGGTGTCCAATATTCAATATAGGTATGTGCTGCCAGTTACACTACCTGGACCTCCAAGCAATTCTTTGCTTCCAGACATATTTAAATCAAGATAATTGGCAGTGCACTGCATGGTAAATGGCGGTTACGGGTTCAAATCCCACTCAGAGCCGATTTTTTTCTACCAGACTGTTCTAAAATATGTATTAAATTTTAATAAATATTTTAAACCCTCATTGTAAACCAGACGTTTGTATTTAGTTAATATGGTCCCTCTGCTCTTAATCTCTCCATATCTGGTCTCGGCTCTCATCCATCTAACTCCATTTTCAAGAGTAAGGAAGAACAGATAAATAGAAGGATGACAGTGGGAATTTATAGGTCTACAATCTTTTCAAATTGCAGCCCAAAAATGCATTTTGGAAAAGCCAACTTCAATTAAAATATAAATTTAAAATTATTACTCATATTTTTCACAAATTATTGTTCTTGAAAGTAGTGTAAGTTCATTTGTATCTAAAAAAATTTTTTATTCTCTTTAACAATTTTATTAATTATTACATAATAAAATTTAAAAAATTTATAGTTTTATAAACATTGCCTGAATTTATTCATGTCAATATTTTTCAGTTGATTCAAACTCAAACCTGAATTATTTGTACCACTTATTTTCATTTCAAAATGGAATGTGAATATTTTATAATGTCCATTCTCACCAATGTTTTTCTCAAAATGTATGGTATAGCATAATCATATTATTGTCACTGTCTATATTGGTTTTCAAATTTACAAGTATATTTTGAAAATCTTTGAATTCTACAACAAAATCATATTATATTGATTTTTTTTATTCTAATTTTAATACTTTTCTATTTTCCAAAGTTGTTAAACTTGAAATTCTAGCTAGGGTAATATATTTTTTTAAAGAAAAGCTTATATAAAATATAAATAAGAGAAGTTTCATGAAATGAAATGTAGCAAACTGCTAGTCAAATAATACAAATATCATACATAACTACTACAAATAAAATTTTAAAAAATTTTAAGAATTGAAAAGTTTAAGAGAAGACTTTTTAAATTAGAAGTTCAAAAAACATTTATGGTTGAAAAACATCTGACTTCTTAATTCTTAAGATTTTTTTTTTGTTATAATAAATGATTTACAAGATGCCTATTTAGTTTAGTATATTTCCGTTAGCCAACATCATATTACTTGTAATCTGAATATTTATTTGTCGTATATAATAATACTTATTTTTGTCAGGAAAAGTTTTAGTACGTATATTTCATTAAGGAAGATTCAAATTACCATTCTGTATTTTATACTTCTTTTGTTCCATAATAAATTAAATTATCTTGGTTAATGCATTTATTTTTAGACTTATGTATATTTGCAAAATCATTAAAATAATATACAATAATGCTTATAATGCTTTTGTTTCTATTTTTAATAGGCATGGTGATATGTTATATTTAGTGCCTAAAGAAACACAAAGACAAGATTTTGTTGCTTCAACTTCACAACCTATGGAAAGTGAAACTACACAGGGGCACATTACTTCAGTTAATTTTTCTAATCCTGCATTTCAAGAAGATGAAGTAGATACATTATTATTTAAACAAGATGGTTACATACATAGAGAAAGAGATGAAAAGCTGTATGTTTTATTCTTAAATAATTTATATTTTATTAAATAATTAAAAATCAACCTTGTATTTTATATGTTTTATCTATTTTGATGCTTCTTTGGAAAATTCTTTATTTGAATGCTTTTCAACCTGGTAGTTAACAAAATTATTACTAGAAATAGAATTATTAGTAAAAAATTGAAACAAAAATTTTCTGTCAGGTGAAAAAGATATGATCATCAGAATAGTTACAAAAAGCAGCAGTGTTTTTGTAATTCAAATTAAATTCAAGTAAAATTTATCTTTTTATTACTTGTAAGTTGTTGCAACATTTCCCATGACTAAGCAATAAGCTTTTATATGTTGCAGAAATGATGTTATCATGAACAATGTTCTTAAATAAGCCACACGAATTTCAATCAGGCAATAATACAATATAGTATAGTATAGTATTATAGTGGCAATAATACTATATAGGCCTAGTATAGTATTATTGCACTAAAGTATAACTACAATAAAAAAATTCAAATTTAAATTCCTTTGTGTCCTTAATTTATTAATTTAAACTTAAAACATCAACTAGGACTTATCTATTATTAGGACTTGTTATCCAGTATAATATTGATAATTCGTAATAATAGATAAGTCCTAGTTGACATTTTAAGTTTAAATTATAACCACAATACTATACTATAGTATAGTATTGTTTTATACTTTAGAAGATTGATAATTATATGACTATATAGATATATATTTCTCTCTCTCTATCTCTGTCTGTCCTATGGGCTCTAAGGAAATTTTTTTCCAGGCCCATCATGGGTTCAGCTTGGCTCACACTGGGGTAGCTAGGTGGTGAAGGATGGATTCTGACATATCCTGGACAGACTGCTCATGGAAAATTCTTGATACTCAATCTCAAGTCTCCAGAGTAGCAGGCTGATGCCTTTACTGTCTCAGCTATTTCGCTGGCCTGTACAGATATATAATGATTATGTTAATCTTTATTGTGACATATTATTAATCTATTATATTATGATTTGATTTTGTGTAACACTGTCACTGATTATAACTTATAACTTTTTTATTTCTTATATTCAGGAAAAATTACTCAAATTATATCATTTTCATCTATTGGGTAATTTTATTTCTATAAATTTTTATGATCAGTTTTGTTAAATAACCAATTCAAAAGCATTCTAATAGTTTTATGCAAAATTATCAAGTAGGTGAATTATAATCATTGACTGTGTAGTTTTGCTGAAATTAGATTTTTAATATATGTTAATTTAGTATATAAAAATTTAAAATTTTGAACATTTTTATATAGTTTCAGTTGTCATTGTAATATGACTTCAATTAATAAAGCAAACAACACTGTTAAGAGCTGAATCAAATGATATAACAACAGCCATTAGTCCAATATTAAGTATAATAAATGTATTGTTTGTTAATATTTTGAATGTTTTTTGTTAACATTAACTATTTGTATGGTTGGGTTGTGTTGATAAGCTATACATTTATTGTTGTTATTAGAAATGGACCTGAAGATGGAGTGAAGGTTTATGACATGTAAACAGAGAAGGAAGAGACATGTTTACATTTTGACATATTTTGGTTGGCATTTGAAAAATTCTCAATGAGGTAAAGGATGTTATGCCACCAGAGACCATTTTTATACTGCTGGAGACTGATGATTTTTAGTTCTGTATTCCAATGTGTGAGCTTAGAGCAGTGAGTATAGGTATGCTTGATTAGCGTGCAGAAGGCCAATAATCAAGCATAATTGTTGTTGTTAGACTTGTATTAAAGTTACTTCAAAGAATAAAAAAAGAAAATAACATTTTACAAGTTTGAATGAATTTGGATTTCTTTCAAACTTTAATTGCTATTTCTTTGCACTGGCAAACACAACAGCAACAACAGGATAAATTTACAATGATTCTTTAAGGATGCTCTTACTTACGGTCTCATTACTCCTCTTAAATGAATTATCTTTGGAAGGAAAAAATTCTTATGCTTGCTTAAAAATTTAATTATTTCTTTCAGTAATTCAATATATAAATTATTCAAAACTAGATCATATTGATCAAAATATAGTGTAATCATCACAAAATAATGATTACATCTGTTATGGGTTTTTGTATTTGAACAAAACATTATATAAAATAGCATCATAGATTACACAAAACAAATGTATTATGTAATATTTCTTGTCATTATGATATCTAGTGAAAATTCTGGTTTAGATAATTAGATATCATTTATTAGATAACAAGTACACTTGTGGTTTGGATTGGCTGTAATATATTACATTTGTTTTGTCTTAAAGAGTTTCTCAATTTTGATTATTGTTTGAATATTCAATTCTGATTACTACTTAATGGTTTCTGAAAAAATATACAGTTGAATACTTTCATGGAATAACTTTCTTTTTCCCTTCTAAAAGTTGAAAATCAGTATAATAATCAATGAAAATCAATTGTGTAATTGCATATTAAAAAAAGTAATGCTTAAGATAATATCAAGTAAGAAGGTAATATTTACCCATACATTTTTGTATTAGGAATTTCATTCATGAATTCAATTTTATATTTAATTTTCCATTATTTAATTAGTACTCAAAACAGGGGAAATGATATGTTGCAGTTTATATAAAATTTTCATTATTTACAAAGTTTATTATTATAAATTGTTATGTGAATACTTAAAAAATACTTGGAAATTTATTTTCATCTTAATTTTAATAGATGCAGCCATGGTCATAATGCAAAATGCATGAATTGTTTACCAATAGAGGTAAAATTTTAATTTATAATAATAATATAAAAATATTAAATTTATAACAGTACTTTTAATATATCTATATAGTTTTTAAATTTAATAAAGTACTGGATGATCTGAAATTTTTGTATAAAAGTAAGAAATCAGGAACATTTATCATTCAGTATATATGTAGAGAGAGACCAAATTTAATGAGAACTATGTCAAAATCTTTAATTAAGCAGTATTAATACCAGAAGTTTCAAATACAACATAAATACACAAATTGACAAAAGACTAGACATCCAGACAGAATTGCCCATTACTACAAAATTTGGCATACAGCTGTTTTCCATACAGGAATATAAATGATCACAGTTGTGTCATGATTGCATGCCAGGTAATGACACCCGAGTACCGTAATATCACTACCTCCAATATTCTATAAAAAGGCTTGCAGAAGTTCACTATGTTTATAATTGTCATTTAATTTTTTATTTGGAGGTCTTTGAAAACTAGTCATACTTTTACAATACAGACAAAAATCTTTACACACAGCTGATGGAGTTTGAGAAAGGCTGCATCATTGAGTTGACTGAGATAAGCAGGATGGCCATTTTACATCATTGGCTTTGTTTGTAGTGGTGTTGTGATAGAGAAGCAGAAACTGCTATGAACTGGCAGCATATCATCCTTAGCAATGAATTTCAATTCTGTTTGGGAATGGATAACTGTAGTGTTAGTGTGGAGGATTACTAGTCAGTGCTTCAATCCTACCTTTACTGTTGAGATGCACACTGCATCTAATGTTGACATGCTGGTCTTAGATAGTCATCTTGTATCACAGTATTACCCCTAGTAGTGATACAAGGGACTTTGATGGCACAGTGGTACGTTAAGGAAATCATGTGGCCTAATATTGTTTTTCAAATTCCAGCAAGATAATGCTTAACTGCATGCAGCTAGAGTTTTATGGAACTATGTCTATTACATTGTCATATTTCTTTAGTCTGGTCTTCAGATTTGAAGCCTATCATGCATTTACAAGACCAGATGGGTTTCTGACTATCTATGATTGTGAGGGATCTGGAGTGGAAGTTGCAATATGTGTGGAAAAAGCTGTTGCAGGATAGCATACAATACCTGTATGCTTTTCCAACTATATCATTGTATGTATTCAAGCAAGAGGAGATCTTACAAGCAGCGCTGGATCAAATAGGTGCAAGGCCTGATTGAATTTTTTTTTGCGGGGCTCCTCAAACTTTATATAACAAAATTAATTAACAGTTAATTTACATATTGAAATATCTTGTTATATTTTTAATAATAACATACCTAGATATTTATTTTTGTAACATGTACTATTTTTAAATATATAAATTTTGATGTGCTGCGGGGCCCCTTCAAGCGCAGGGCCTGATTGGCACAAATCATTCCAATTGCCTCAAATCCAGCTCTGCATACAAGACATAAAGGTTGCTTTGTTTTACTGTTGTTCCAATGGAAATTGACTTTTTGCTATGATATTGAAATCACTTATTACCATTAGATACATAAGATCTGTTAACTAACACAAAACACAGTCAAAATTGCTTGCTATACGATCAACATTTTAACTACAAGATTTCAAATCATGGTACATCAGCATGAAATTTTTCAGATAGAGTATTACACTCTCTATGTACAGTACAAGTCAGTGTATGTTGTCCTCCCTACACCTCATCTTCATCAGCATCATTGCACTATCAACTTCAGAGCAGTACAATTCTACTGTCAAATTGCCATCATCATCAGAGCCACTACTATTAGTCTGTTGCATTCTGTGACTTGTCATTGTCACCATTTTACAGCATGTTATCCTTGCCATTTAGGACAGGGATTGGCAGTCTGCATTAATATTTTTTGCGGCTCACATCACATAAAATATGAATAAATATATCAATTTCCCAATTTAAAGAAGTATGAAGCATAAGTTCAAATGTTATTTTCTACATCTTTGCATGTGAATAGCTTTTTTGCAATGTATTTAATAAAAATTAAAACAAGAAACTGGCTAACAGACACATCAAAATTAATTTATAACTAGCAGTGACTAATGTTTAACCAAATATTTCTGAAATATTATATTTACATCAGTTCCAGAAGATAAATTAAGTATACCTATGCTAATTTATAATTATATATGAATAAATAATCATGATTTATCGGTATTTTTTCTTTTTTTCTCTTGTATGTGGCCCTTACATAGAAAAAGGTTGCCCATCCCTGATCTAGGGCATTAGAAATGCAGTACTTTTTGAATAAATGGTTAATTAGCAGACCTGGAATGGTTTTCCATGCCATAGAAATCAAATGTGCAACATATAGTTTTACATGTTGTATCTTTCTATATAGTTGCTGTAAATTTATGGTTTTTGTTGGAAAGCTACTTGTCATATTGTTCCTGAACTTATTTTTGAGTGGCCTGTTAATGCCAGCTTTCAAGGATGGGAGAACAGATTGTTCCTATAGGAATGACATGAAGTTCAGTTTTAGCCTGAGGATTTTGTTTTTCACTTGATCTATTAAGTGTCCTTAGAATGCATCCAAGAAAAGAATTGATGACAGGTTTAGGAGTGAGCTAGGACAATGTCCCCAACATTTTGCAGCCAGTTCAGCATTAATTGTTTCATTATCCATTCCTTAGTTTGGACTCATACAATAACATTGGAAGAGAAAATGATGGTCACTGGCAGGCTTCTTAGAAAACATTTTTTTTTTGAAGATCAAGAACAGCCAAAGTTCTAAACATTCACCATGACTGTCAAACATTTTTCATAACCTGGTAGCCTGAATTTAAATTTCTTTGTTCCTTTTTTTTCCAACCATATAATAATGGGGCATAATCTGGTCAAATGAGTTTCATCAGCATTATCAGTTTGTGTAAATGTTGAACAAACTTGGCACCACATTAATAAAGATAATTTTACTGCTTAGTTCAGGAACCAAATTGTTCTTTTATTCAGAAATGTGTTTTATTTTTTAAGAACATTTTCAGCTTCAATTTTCCAAAATGCAATGTATAGTTCAATTAATAACATGTTTTTAAATCTGAACATCTTCATGTTTTTGTTCTAATTTGAATATAGTTCATTCTTAAACCTGTAATATTGAATTTTTTAAAATTTTACAACCTTTAAATTTAAATACTTTTTTAAATACCAACATTTTTACCATTTTACCATGAAAATAATCATATCAATGTCTGTTACTTTATAATTCCAAATAATTGTATTTATTAATATTATAATTTTCCCTTTATACTTTTTTAAACAAATTTGGCTAGCATGTTATTTACTAAAGAGGTAATATTATAGTTTTCTAGTAAATCTGCCCATCTGTTGTTTAACATTAAAGCATCATGTGCATTAATTATCATAAGGGAGTGAGCTAGATGATGTATGAAGCATTGTTTAATGGATCTTTTTTTTCTGCTCCTCCTTTAATCATTATAGGGTTCTTTCAGTTTACTTGGACTTTATCTAAAGGCCATTTCATCAATACTGTACCCAATTGTTTATTTTTTTGGACTGAATCAAAATTTTCTTTTATGTGCTGTCATAACATTTTATATGTAGAACCTACATAGTAAAAAGTATGTTCTGCTTTGATGAATTTCAACATGTATAAACCTGCCTTATAATTTCTTTCATTTTATCTAAGCAGAGACATTGCATTATCAGGTGGACAGTTGTCTAACATTCTGAGTGATGTTATTAGTACAGGTATACCTCAAGTTACGTTGTTCTTGATTATACATCGTTTGTCAAAGAATATATGGAAAAATAAAAATAAAGTTTAAGTCATTTTATTCGACTTTACGTCCATCCGCCACAAATATTGAAGTCGTAATATCACTAGAAAAGCGTTAAAGTGCATAAAATCATATTAAAATATGTACATTTACAGTAAATGTTAATATAATCATCATAAATCCTAGAGAACGAAATGTGAAAACATCTCTGTTTCTGTGTTGTTGTCTTATTTAGTGGTCTTTTAAGTGCTCAATATTGGTGTTTTCCACGGTAGCTTCAATATCTACCATTTGGCGTTGTTGTCAGCACCACTCGATATTGGTAAATTTAATATAGTTTATTTTCTACTGTCACAAGATAATTTTAATAAGTATTTGTTATTTAACCTTACAAAATCATCATATCAAAATATCATATTGCCAAATTGTAAACATGAATTCGTACATTTACGAATTCATGTACTGTACATGAATTCGTAAATTTAGATTACTTTTTTCTGTACTATATTAAAAACTAAAATTTATTTGTTTGTAAGCTTAAAATAGATTCTCATTAACCATATATTATTAAAAATGCATTTATAAATAAAATACAGAACTGGGAATGGTTATTTGTGGTTTAGCCTAGTGACAAGTAAATTCGGAGACAAGTAAATTTGACTTTTATCAACTTAAGTCATTTATCAACTTAAGTCGCTTACCTGGAACTAATTACCGGCATAAGGTGAGGTATACCTGTATAAGAAGTTAAGAGTGAAACCATAACTTTGCCAGTTATTACACATGTATTATTATTATTAGTTAAATGCCATGCTTCCTTCTCTTCCAATTTTTCTTCTTTCTGGTTCTCATAATTTATTAAACATTTTCTAATCAGGCCTATAATTTCCTAAAGGCCTTCATTAAAGACATTTAGTAGGGAAACCATGCTTAGTGTTGTTTGGATAATGTAAGAAAATTCCTGTTTTTATGTTTTAACAGAGGAGTGTTGCAACCTTTTGTATAAGGGCTCAAAAGGCATTTAATTTATGGGGTATAATGTTGTATGAGCACCAGTGTATGTATATGTTGTAGGTATGGGTTTTCTGTACATAGATTACAAAAACACCAAGAAACCTGTAAATAACAAAAATATTTTATACTGTGAACAGTATTTCATCTACAGGAAACATACACTGGGTTTTCAATACACTTTTGTATGATACTTCTTTCCAATTTATAGATGTTGAAGTCTAGAAATTTGACTTATTCTTGGCTGATCTAGTCTATCCCAAGATGATTACCCAAAAGGTTATTGTTGATGCCCTGTATAAATGTGTGGACTGTTTTTATTCCTCAATATAATGAGTATATCATCTACTTATTGACAGAAGTTTTATGCTTTGTTTATATTTGTTAATAATTGAGTTCTCTACCCATGACTCAACAATTTTGGCAATCTTGCATGATACTGGAAATCTCATTGGTTCACTAATTGCTTCCTTATAGTAGGTATTTTCTCAAAGTACAGATTTGATTATTTTAAACCAAGATAATCTGCTAAGTACAGTACATATACATATCTATATCTATTTTCATTTCTCTACAAATTAAATCTCTTGTCAATGCAATTCCTGCTTCTATCTTAATAGAAGGAAATAAAGTTGCATAGTCTAGAACTGTAACGACATCACATTGTTCCCATGTGAGCTCTTTTAGCTTTGTAATGAACATTTGTATTGCTTATTGAATAATTGGATTTAAAATTTAATTTGTGAAATCTGGAATTTTTACCGAATTTTCCGATTAATATCCCACATTTTTCTAAACCCCCAATTAAATTTTCCTTTAAATTCTAAACTAAAACCTAACTTAAAAAAGGGGAAAAATTCCAATCTCCCCTTTCGTTCAAAGTAAACATCCATCCATTTCGAAAACAATCCCACATTCCAACTCCTAAGTTGATAGTTAGCATGGGGCCGGGGACAACTTTGACCCATCAGTGTACCTTTTACCTCATAACAAATGGTCACATGACCATTCTCTCACGAGGAAATTATAAAAGCCGCTTGCTTCCCCCTCTCGGGGGAGTCGTTCATTCGCCGTCACTTTAATACTGTATCCTACGAATATTATATCCTACAAATAATTGTCTTAAGAATCTTATATCCTACGAATACTGTGTCCTACGAATCCTACGTGATCCTTCAAATATTACGTCTAATCGTATTTTCCTCAATGAGAAACAAATTTTTTTTCCTCAAAGGATTATCATCAGAAAGAGGTATGGAGCAAATTTTTGTGAACTCTCTCTCGGCCCTTCGCATTTTAGGGACTCAGATTTTTCCCTCGACAATAGTTATTGTATCATATATATATTAGCTAATAAATCGTTGTTATCTTGTTAAATTGGTGTCCTCTTTTACTCGTATATCGCCTGTCATCTTACCGACGGCACTCCTCCCTCTGCCACTCGACCCAAAACATTAAATCCCGTTACAGCGGGAAAAAGGGATAAATTTTAATCCATCCTGACAGTGAGAAGGTTTAACAACCTGTTGCCGGATCGGGAGACCTACACCCTCCCGGCTGTTCACAAATTTTTTAACAAGTTGATGTAAGATATTTTCTATTGTTATTGTAGTTGGGGCCAAGAAATTTTTATAACTGGTTTAAGAGGTCACTCAACTTTGTGCATTTTAATTTTGTCAATAGATGCTACTACATTTTTGAAGGTTGGAAATTTCAAAAGGTCTCAGAGGGCCATCTTTTTTGGCTGGTGATTTCACTTATAAGCTAGATAGGATTCCTGGTTTAGTTTAGTTGATTTAGTTTTTTTTCAAGGTATTCTTTTATTTTTTTACTATATATTCTTCAAACTATATTTAAATTAGAACATGAAAATAAAGATGTTTAGATCTTTTTAAAATTTGAATAACTGCACTTTGTAATGAACTATACATTCTATTTTGGAAAATTGAAACTAAAGATGTTCTTAAAAAATGAAAACATTTTTGAATAAAAATTATCATCATCATCAGTCTAGTCTAACATGAAACCTCTTTTTGCCTAAGTGTGAAGTACTGCTGGAAATTAAGTTTTTCTCAAAATCTACTGGTAGTTTCTGACAGATGGTTGTGTGGTGTCATAAGGAGAAGCCCCCTTATATGATGATGCTCATTACTCAACCACAACTGACTTTAAAGGCTTGACACTATGTTTAGAGCAAGTGTAGCTTAATTGCCCTTCCTCCTAATTAGGTCATAAGTCACAGGCAGATCATTCTTACTTCTTTTTCGTGAACTATAGAACTTGTTCATAAACCTCCGGATGTCTATCATTTTGAGATAAAGTAAAACCTCACTTAACGCGGGGGATGCATTCCTAGACGACAAAGCGCTAAATGAAACAGCATTAAACAAGGTCATTTTAACATAGAGTAAATAGGGATAGGGGAACACAATCAAAAATAAAAAAAATTTACTTTAAGTTATTTTTATATTAATTTGTATAATAATATATGTTAAATAACACACAAACATATGCACACAGAAATGTTTAATAATATATTAATTAGTTCATTTTTTCTATATTAATAGTTTATTTTTTGTGACGAAGGTCCTGACTTTTCTGAAATTCTTGTTTTTTTGCAGTAAAGTCATGAAGTTTCATTTGTCACTTTTTTTTTCCTTAAGGATATGTCAGTAGTAGAAGATCGCCAAAAACGCCTTATTTTGCTTTTGCACTCCTTTCAAAATCTAGATTATTTGCTACAATTTGATCAACGATTTTGGTTATTGTTACCAAACTTAATAATTACTAAGGAAATCCATAGAAAAGTTTTTTGGGTTCTTTATTTTCAGAATCACTATTTTCCAGTTCTACCTGGATTCCTTGTTCTTGAAGATTGTCGTTGATAAGACTCTCACCAGAAACCTGTGGTAATTCCTCAATATCCTGTTCGTCTACATCTCCTAGTCTCACTGTATCAATTAGGTTGAGTTTGATCAACCTAACGATACAGCGACAGGCTCTTATCGTTGAGAATTCTTGGATACCTTCAGCCATAACTTCTTCCACACTTTGTTCATGCATTTATCAGTTAATTCTTGCCAAACCAAGTCAATATTGCCTATGGCATCCATGATATATTTTTTCCAAAATTGCACCAAACAAACATAGATTTAAAGAAAACACCTTTTTGTCACCTTTTTCTGATTGGTTCACATTCGTAAATAATTGTATTATGTATGAATCAATAAAATGCTGCAATAATTTAAATCAGTGTAAATTTTGAGCTTTTTTTTTAGGCTTTGAGCAGACGGCATTATATCAAATCAGCGTTAAGTGAGGTCTTACTGTACACTGAATTTATTTTGTAATGCCTTGCATGCAAAAATAGCCTGTTTATGCTATGTTTACAATCGAACATTGCTCTCTGTCACATCAGAGTTTGTACAGTCTCTCTGTTTTGCAGCATAGTGGATAGCTCTCCACTTAATTTTATAGGAAATTCATCTACTGGACATTGTTCACTTGGTTTGCTTTAGTGCAAAAGACCACCAAAATCATTACAAAACCAAACAGTAGTAGTGAGAGGAATGTGTACCATGTCTTTGCTGAAGATGTAATGCATGCAAATCTGCTGAGTAAAGTGAGAAGCAAATGACAAATGAGTCTTTTAAATTGAATATTAATTAATTTCTTGTTCATTGAATCTTAAAAATTTTCATTTCATAACTATTGTAAGTGATTTTTAAATAAATAATTACTATAAGATGAAATAAATTGCATATTACAACAATTGATATGATTAAAGCAATATGGGTGAATGCAGTTTATTAGCTTTTTCCATTAATTGAAATAATAAAGTAAAATTAAATTAAATGCTCAAGTAAGATACTGTAATGCTTATTGAAATTAAATTAAATGCTCTCAAGTAAGATAATGTTTATTGATACATAATAATTAGTTATAAAAGACAAGGTAAAAAATAACATAAGCTGAATACTTTAAATGAAAAATAACAAAATACATAGTGATTAAAACTCTAAAATGCTACAAAATCATTTGAAATCAGTTTTCACAGTAAAATGTATGACGGTTTAATTTTATCTTGTAAAATTTTTCAGGAAATTAAATATTATTAATAGACATTATAAATGGATAATAGGTTACTCTGTATATTATTGATAATAAGCTGGAGTTTGATTAATATAAATTTATTGAATGTTTTTATTGTTGTTTGTCAAAGATTTTTTTGCAAATGAATTTAATTATATGTAAATATTTTTATATCTGTAATCAATAGTTAATTTATTATTATTATTTTTTATTTTAGCCTTACAATGAGGATTATATGAAGGAACATAATATCAGACATATGTCATTTCATGCTTACCTTCAAAAATTGATAGGTGGTGCAAACAAGTATGTCATTCAAATTTAATATTTAATTTTAAAATTACGTAAGTTATTTTGTAAATTCATATAATAACAATAATAATAATAATAATAATAATAATAATAATAAACAGTGGCACACCAACAGAAGAAGAACTCACAACTTATTGGTCTTCCCTTTGGTCCAATGCTGTTAGACACAATGCTGATGCAGGCTGGATCGAGGAGGAGAACAGAAACTTGCACAACATACCAACTATGCCCTGTGCTGAAATAAACATACACGACATTCGCTACGCTGTTAACAGAACACACAACTGGAAGACACCTGGTGTAGATAACATTCACAATTTCTGGTACAAAAAATTTACATCACTGCACCAGGAACTAGCCAAACATCTAACACACATCATCATCAATCCACAAGACATGCCAAAATTTCTTACTCAGGGCATCACCTACATNTGGGAACATTACAATTGAGTAGAAATACATACATCACACTACAGAAGGCCACTATATTGAATACATGCCACATTGTTAGGAAATTCCTTAATACTGACACTGACACAGACACACACACTTAATTTTAGTTTTGTTTTGGTTGCTATGCCTTGACTCTGGTCCGGCATAGTACTCAGCCATTGGTTTGTACCGAGTATAACCCACTAAACCCAACACATAATAATAATAATAAAGCTTATAATTTACATTAGTTTCAAAAATGGAAACTCTAAAATAACAAAATTGCCAAAACTTTATTTATTTGATCAAAAAAGTTTTCCCTAAAACAAAAGATTGTTTGTTGTATTTATCCATGTTTATGTATCAGGGAATTCATTTTGCTGTTATAAATTTTCAGTTATTAATACTAATTGATAATTAAATTAGACTATTAATAAATAATTGAATACTGTTTTATTCTGAATTTGATTGAACTATTGAGTCATGAATTAATACCTAATTTATTCAATGCAACCTTAGACTTTTTGAAGAGGAAGAATCAACAGGTTGTCTTTTCAGTGAACATTACTTTTAAATATTTTCTTTGTTGCTAAGTACTTTTAAAATTTATTTGATATTTATAAGTCTATAGGCAAATTATCATAGATAGTTAAAGTATATTTTACAAGAGTACTTTCAAAAGACTTAAATATTTTTGGACTGCAATTTGAAAAAATTGTAGGCCTATAAATTCCCACTGTTGTCTGTTTGGCTGTCTGTCCTTCCTTAATCTCAAGAATGCAGTTAGATAGATGAAAATTGAGACCAGATATGGAAAGCTTAGAAGCAAGATGCCCTAATTAACTATAGAACTTTCAGTCTATGCTTACAGTGACCATACGTCCTTTATTTAAGAGGACAGTCCTTTATTTCACTGCTCTGTCCTTTAACTTTATTTATTTTCTAAAATAGGTATTTTGTCCTTTATTTTGTAAAGTTGACACAAAGTTTAAAAAAATTTTTTTTAATAATATATTGAACAAGTTAGTTTCATATACGCCATCACGACCAGTGTTGCATTGTTACATAGAGCGCAGTAGTGCAGTGTGTCGCCAACCAAACGGCCCACTGACAGTACCAAGGGGTGGACACTCTTATGGGGATTTTTGTGATAGTTTTTTAACTCTCTAGTTGGTGCATGATACACTTGTTAATTAAAGCTGAAGTTATTTGAAAGAAAAAATGAGGGGTTTCTTCCTATTGTTATTAGAAAAGTGGTTTTAGCATTAGAAAAATCAGAAAATATACAAGCCAAAAAATTCAATGATGCTGTGTACACATTTTATCAAACGTGCATAGATTATCTAAATAATTGGGACATGTTTTTTATTGAAATAGAGATGTTTGAATGGGTCACATTATGCGAAGTCCCTTTGTGGGCGAAAGTAGAGGAAAGCTATATCTTTATTTTGAATCATTGGTCCGTAAATATACTCGATGGTGAATTATTTGATGAAGTTTCATGTGTAAAAAAATATGTCACAAACGAAAAGATCGACGAATGGTGACAGAATAACCAGCCCTGCCATCAAAGGTGGATTGAGATTTTTGAACATTTTACAGCAAAAGAAATTGTTTTCAAAAACATTTGTAAAATCGTAGAATTTTCTTTGTCTCCCTGGATCTAATGCCCCCGTTGAACGAATATTTTCATTGGTGAATAATATGTGGACGAATGAAAAAACTGATTTAAAAGTAAGCACATTAGAAGCATGTATTTCCATCAAATACAACTTTCAAATGAACTGTATGGAATTTTATGACTTTAAAGCGTAAAACAGCGCTATATAAAAAAATTAATTCTACTGAAAAGTATCAAAATTAATGTTGTTTAAATTTTTACAATGTGTGTATGTGTAATAATTCAGATTGTTTAAAATTTTAATGTATGCATTGTTGTATGCTACTATTTTCGTAATAAATGTTAAATGTTAATAATATATGATAAATGATAAATGTTAATAAATAAACTTATGAATTTTATAAGGTATTTTTTGATTTTCATTGATATGTCCTTTATTTTCCCCAAAAAAATATGGTCACTGTATCTATGCTGGAAGTCACATTACTTCAATTCAAACATTTTTTTCCTGAAAAGAATTATAGATGACTGGCATGACTCTGTTGCTAACAGGAAAAGTATGATGTGCAGGTGCAAAACACTTAATTTGAGATTGAGAACATATAATTTAATTTAAATAAATTAAGAATATGATTAAAACTTGCAGCCCGGCATTGTGATGATGTCACAGTAAACAATTGCTTGTATATATTTTATATACATCTTGCAATCATACTTATTTATTCTATTATTGTGTTTTTATGCATGTAATAATTTATGTTTAGTTACTCAAGATATTTTCTTTTAAATTGGTTGATGCAATGTCAAAATATAAACATAATTGTAAAAAAATTTTTCTTTTATTTTTCTTCCTGTCAGTTTTTTAAATATTCTGTATAATTTATTTTGATTATGAATCCTTGTCTAATTGACTTATTAGTCTGTATATTTTTTACTTAAATAACAGAATAAACTCTTATAATATTCCAGCTGCATGTCCATGGAATGTACAAAAGTTTGAAATTTGATAATAAAAATTAAAAATTATTAAAAGTAAAAGTGATTGATTGATTGATTGATTGATTATACATTATTCTGTACTTTATAATTTAAGCCAATTATGTAATGTGATCCATAATTTGGGAATCTCAAGGACATATTGCAATGTAGGAAGGAGGAGATGTAAAATCTTTCTTGTAGGAATAATGTTCTCTCTTAGCATTGTTTAAGAGTTAACACATGGGACCAGAGGGATTCCTAGCTATCTGGATTTTGTATTTAAAAATTATTAACTATTGTATTATGTATACACTATAATAATCCATAAAAAATTGCAAATGTTTTTTGCTTTGAAAATTTACCAATTAGCTCAGAACTATTGTGAAAATAGATCTCTCTCTTTCCTAGCTCCCTATCAATTAATTTAATTATAAATATATTGTGGAATATTGTGAATTCTGATAAGTGATTAGTAATTGATCATGAAAAATATTTTCAAATAATGAAACTTAAAAAATAAATGAAAGATTATTATTAAATTATTAGAAAACTTAATAATTAAAATGATATCAAAACAAAGATATTCTGTTTGATAATTCTAAATGTCTCTTTTTCTTTATGAGTAAGTGATTGTGGTGACAAATATGGCATTTTAACAATCACTGTAAATAATGCATATTAGGAAATTCATTAGAATATTTTAATTGCTAATATAAAATATTTTCATGAAATAATTCAGAAATAATTGTAAAATTAAAAAAAGTTTTTTTACTTTTAAGGGGAAAATTTGCAGCATTAGAAAATATTAGTTGTAAAATAAAACCTGGTTGTAAAGAACATGCTCCATGGCCTGCAGGCATTTGTACAAAATGTCAGCCTAGTGCTATCACATTAAATAGACAAGTAAGTACAGAAATATCTGAAAATAATGATAGATATATAATGAATTATATTTTGTAGTTTTATTAAAATTTTTAAATTCAAAGTAAAAATTCAAATAATTTGAAAATTGCCTGTTTAAACAGTAATTTGTAATGCATGTTGTTAGTTCATATTTTTCTTTTAATTAAAGCCAAACAATAACCATATTATTAGATCAGGCTATAGTAGTAGTAATATAGCCCAATCTAATCAAGCAATTGTTTGACTTTAGTGTAACTAATAAGCTTATATATGCTTATATTTCTTTTAATTATTAATTATACTTTTTTGTGAAGTATCTAAACATCACTTAATTTAGAATAAAATAAAAAAAATTAAGTACAGTAATTGAATTCTTATGGAAATTAATTCTAAATGTTTTATTATAAAAAAGTTACATGTATTTATACTATAGAAATTTTATTCCCATCTATAACTATCTGTTACTAGCTTGTTTGGAAGCTGCCATTAACACAATTTAAGTTTCAATATTTAACATTAAGATTATATAAGTTTTATTACATCCTGTTACTGTTATGTTTAATAATAATTCAATATAGCCAGGACTATTTTTCATCTGGAATTCACTGGTAAGCCATACTGGCAAATAACATAAGAAATAATTAATAGTCAGTATGTAGTGCCAGCAATTGCTCAGTAAAAAATATTCTATACATTCATGTAAGAAGTCTGGTAATTGGCACGATAAAAACAAAATGAACTGAACCACTCTATTGTTCTATTGGTAAAATGTACAATTTTACAATGAACTAAATCTCAATTATAACTTGAATAAATTTCTCATAACATCTATAAAGAATTCTATTCTTAGATCTTTGTACAGCCCTTTGACAAACTCTTTGTAATTGGCTAATTTTGCTAGTTTTCACATGATCATCTTATGAACACTACAAGAAAAATCATTTTTTTAAAGGACAAAATGTATTGAAAAACAATCAAAACAGGAAGATGGCCAGAACCAAAACATTCTAAAAGTTTGAAATAAAATCCTTTCTCTTTGATTAATAGTCAATGGAAGAATGAAGATTCAAAAACTTTAACATTACCACTGTCATAGTAAGTATCCAATGTGCATTCAATTCTTGCATTACCATCATCAACTAACAAAAGATTTAAACTTGGAAAGTAAAAATGAAATTCTCTAAATCTTGTAATAAAACATCAAAATAGAAATACAGAAGTAGTAAAGTATTACTGTTAAATTTGCACAATTGTAAAAGTTTTTTTATCGTAAGATGATCTAATAACAAGAAAATTATTTTAAAAATGCAACAAATCAAGCCTACCAAGTTCTCGGGCATAAAACAATAATAAATCACTTGAAGGTCTTCCAGATCCATGCAATGTTGTTTCTAAACTCACAAAAACACAAAATTTGGACCTTTAGTATTAAAATAAATCTTCAAATTGGCGAGTCATATTTCATATAAAGCAATAATATGATTAGAAAATACTGATTTAGTAAACTCAAAATTATTTAAATTAGCAAAAAATTGCTCCTGACAATTCCAAGAAATTACTTTAAGCTGAGTTTTAGGTCAAATAACAATACTGTGATTCACATTTTGGGATTGCACAGATTTGTTTTCACTAAAAAATTGACAATCTTAATTAATGTATTTTCTTCAGTACTGAAGGCAAATTTTTCCCATTAACGAATAAACAATTATATGGAGAGTAGCAAACTTTCTCATGGATTTTGCTTTTTTGTGATATATTAACCTACTCTCTGGTATTCCCGACATATCTTGTTTGAACATCGGAACATTTTTGAAACTAGATGTCGCTAGTCGTTATTATTTTTATATTAAAACTAATTTCTGAAATATATTTTTTTTATTTTTACATTTATTAATATATCTATTTTGTTTGTACAAAATAAAAAAAAAATAATTTTGGCCAATACGATTATTTTTTAAAAAAATGTGTAATTTTTGTTAGGCTTAACATCGACAAAAATTCAACATGGAGTGACACGCAACAAGAGAAACATTTCAACATGAGATAGGTTAACAAATTCTTACAATAGATTCTTCTCTCCAAACAAGATTGTCAAAAATTCACATTTTTGCAAATTTCTCTTTTTTTGAATATTCTTAAGATTTTGGAAAATTAGTTCATCCTTCTCATAGCTCAACTTAATACTATTAATTTACTTTTCAGGGGATTTATATCCCCTGTAAAAGTAAATTAAATTAATTATAAAAGCTTTAATAAAATACACTGTCACCATTAATCTTTAATATATTACTAAGAAACTTCTTATCTACATTTAACATTTCCTTTTTAGTCCCTCATAAACTGAAAATCATATTATTATTTTTCCTCTGTTCTTTTTCTACAAATCTATTTTATAAAGAAGAAGAGATTTTTTTTCTTATCACTTTCATTCTTGAAATCTTAAACTTTCATTTCAATTTAAGACAAATGTTCAAAGTAATCTTCATTTAAGTTAGTAAGCCAATCAACTTCTGATAAGTTTTTCAAATTTACTCAGAATCACATCAAACCCATCCTCCAAAACTAACACAATATTCTGAAGAATTGTTTAACTCAAAATATCAGAAGAAAAATACATTTTCAACCAAGAAGATTTCAGAGACATTTCACTAGATAAATTATGGATGCACTTGATTTTGAAGAAGGGGAAGGAGTAGATTAGGAAGTTGGTCCAGGGTTTAAATCAACTCTGCCCATTAGTAGTAGACAAAACAGTTAAAAAATTAATTTAACGCAAAAGAAGATAAGATGTTTTACTGCTCTGTAGCTTAACTTTCAACAGATGTGTAGACTAATTGAAAGTCATGTTAAATTTGATACATAGTAAATGTATTATTTTTATATTCAGTATTTTATAAATGTTTATAATAATTTTTACATAAATATTTTTCATAAAAATTAAATTTTTAAGTCATTATATATCAATTTTCACTTTTATTTTTTTAATTAAAATTACATAAATTTCTTTCATTTAACTTTTGTAATTATTGAGAATGACTTGAAATACTATATTTACTCGCATATAAGATGAGGTTTTTATTCATTTTTTACTGCTTCAAAAACCTAGATCGTCCTATACACGCGAGTGAAGGATTCTTTGTTTTTGCAATAATTTTTGTGAACTGTGTGTTCGCACTTTTACCAGATGCTCATCCTCAGGTGTTTAAAAGCAAAAGTATTTTATCTGGATTGTTTGAATCATTCTTGTGTATTGTCAAGAGTAAAAATGAATAGCAATAGGAAAAGCAAAGATTTTGAATTGAATTCTAAATTGAAATTCCAAAATCACACTGGAACCTGATATAAGTTTTAATCCATTACCACATGAATACAGATGATTATTCAGAAATCAGAATTCAGAGAAACTCATAAGTGTAATTGACAAAGAGTGGATTTGACTGTTAAGAATTGGCAAAAAAGGTTTCTGATTGTCCAGCTTTACATGAAAAAATTACGTTGTCAATTTTACAAGATTTTTCCATAAAGTTTAAAATGCCAGTAATTTTTGTGAGACAATATGTGCATTTATGTGCATTTGATATTTTATTTGTGATTAAATGAAATAAAATTAGAATTGTATTAATAAATCTAATTTTCTTTATTTTGATCTTTAAAGTCACATCTCATCCTATATGCGAGATCGTCTTATAAGTGAGTAAATATGGTATCTCATTTATGTTTTATTCGTTCTTTGTTTGTGTGTGTTTTCTTGTAAAATAATAATCTGATTTTAGATTATCTCAAAATTGAAACTATTTCTAATTTAATAAAATTTTTCTAAAAATAAATTTTTATTTTATATTGGCTTCACGACTCCCCTATTCAGTCATCCACTGGTTCATTAACATGAAATGTTTGAGTAGAAGCAAATTTTTTACAGAAAAACAAAATGGCACATTAGAAAGGAAAGTTCAAATACATTACAAGAGAAATATGCAATCTCTAAAAAGCAAAATATTTTATGCCTTGTGAGGTGTCAATTAGATTTTTATCTCTTGTAGAACACTCTTTTAAACACTATTTGCCTATTTTAAAGATGTTTATTAATTTACTCCTCATTATTTTAAATAATAGTATTTTCTGTTTTTCTTATTTTAATTGTTATTAAATTATTTTATTCTCATTCTTTATTTACTTGAATGTAAGATTGTTGGCAAGTTTTTAATGTACAGATTAACTGTTACACATTTCTCATGTTTTAGTATCTCAGAAAATGGATACATCTTAAGAGTTGAGGTAATATATCATAAGTAGCAGCTTCTAGTGCCATGTGAATTATTTCTCTGTCACTATCATTTTAATGCTTTTATTAGACCAATATTAGTAATGTCAAATGTTTAAGAAGTTAACTTAGCTCAATATCATTAGTCCATTACAATAATGTCAAAAGTACTGGGATGAAAATCCCAGAAAAATTGTACAACAATCTTCCAATGCTTCAAACAGCACTGAGGATGAATGTAGTAGTGGGAAGACCATGAGTATTGAATCCAGTATTGATTCAGAAGAACCTAACATGGAAAATGAAGAGGTTTCTGACTTTGACACCAGTAAGCAAGAAGATAGTGATATGTAACTTTACTGTGCAATAAATTAAAAAAAAATTTTTTATGGGTGAGCATGCAGAAATTAAGGTGCATCTTACCTTCAAATAACTACAAATTATATATAGATAAATAACTATCGAGACAATAAGGCTAGTACACTAGCATTATAAGCTCTATAGTGGCTTTATATACATATATAAAACTGTTGTTGTTTATCTAAAGAATTATTACAAATTGCAACAAATGTAGAAAATATTGCTACATGACAAAATGTCAGTAAAACTACTGAAGATTGTCAGGGGTTGAAGCCCTTTATTGTGTGTGTGTGTGTGTGTATACACATGTATATATATACACACACACACAATAAAGGGCTTATATATATATATGTAATTATGTATGTATGTATACTCATAACATGAAATATTGGAACAGAAACAGATTTTTTTGATGAAAATGTAAATCATCCAGAAAAAAAGGAGGCATTTAATAATTGATTAGAAAAGTTTGAAATCTTAAAAGACAAGTACAGTGGAACCTCGGTATATGACCTTAATCCGTTCCTGGTGTTTGGACATATACCGAATAGGACGTATACCAAACCAACCTTTTCCATAATAAGTAATGTAAAAATGATTAATCCGTTGTCATGTAAAAAAAAAGTGGCTGGCTTTAAACATCTCGCTTTCCTCGCTAGTTTCTGCTTGATTTTTCATGAGATCAGCATGTATCCTTTTAACTTTCTCGCAAATAATTTCTTCCAATACGCTGTCGCCGGCACACTGTTTTTCAGTTATCCAAAGCAAAAGCAATTTCTCGACATGATCTAATATCTTCAATCTCTGTTTAGAAATTGATTTAACCCCTTTCGCAACGTTAGCAAATTTAATAATGTCTTTATTTTTCACGATTGTCGAT